TGGCACTGAAGGCCCCTCAGAGGTCAGTGTAGAACCCTCAAAGACCGGTAGGGGTGCTGTTAATAGCTGGCGTGGGGTCCTTGAGCCTCGTAACAATCGAGCAAGGGTCAGGGTCCCATACGCCCATGGGGGACAATCGTTTTTTGGGGGGGGGGCACTTTGGGGGCATGGCCCTGAAAGCCCCACCCTTGCCACCGCCAATGGCAAAAGTAGGTTGGAAGTATCTCCTACGCAATTCCACACGTGCAAGGCTCACCCTCTTGCTCGCTCGTTTATCGCCCCAAAAGGCTTCTCACTGGTTGCACCGGCTGCGCTGTAGTGAGCACCAAATTGACAACATCTTATTTTACACATGGAACATGCAGTGGTGCCTGATGGTCACCTGTATGCACCCAGTGCATTCTGATCCTTGATAGAAATTAGAAGGGATGTCAAGGCTAACCTAAAAAAAAGACAAGTAGGTCAACCTAGTGGTTGCATATAAGCCTCTCAATAACGCTATATAAGCAGAACAGCTTTGGATTGAGAGCGAACTTATGATAAAGAGCACCCCACTTCAGACAATCAATTCCCACCACATTCGCCTTACCTTGTCCCGTAGCGTGTCGCGCAAGCGCGAGTAGTCGATGCGCGGCACCAGCTTCAGGTGGACGGAGCTCTGGCCGGCGTCGACGTAGTCCACCTGTGCGATGTCGTCCTTGAAGATGCCGCGCTTCAGGCGCACCCAGCAGCCGCGCTTCAGCACCAGCTGCTCCTCGACGACGGGCATCACGTCAGTCATCACCTTGAAAGGCGGACAGAGACCAGAGAGAAGGGATCCGTTAGCGTCCTTTATCAGGCCTCATCTATAACTGAACAGACCCCGGGACTCACTGTCAACCAGTCAGAATGTGAGGATGGTAATGGGTGACAAAAGCTGTTTGGCCTCACCAGGAACATAAATGTCATCTTAAGAAATTACCCAACGTTTCACATTTATTGCTTAGTCATGGGTCTTAGAGTGCCTAAGACCTAAGACCCATGACTAAGCAATAAATGCGAAACGTTGGGTAATTTCTTGCGTTTTTCCCCCTTTTAAAATGAATTAAAAAGTTTAGGCCATACATGCACTATAATGTCACATAAGAGGGAAAGGTAAGCTAAATATATCTGTGGTGCCGTCACTGTCCCTGAATGCAGTCCAACATGAACAGTGGGCCTTACCGTTCAAGATATGCCCTACCAGTGTTAACAAACAACTATTATCCACTGAGCAAGGGCTACTGAGCCTGGAGCCAGTGTGCCCACTTCAACTTACCCCTTTGACAATTGCATTGCCATTCCTTCGCCTTCTACTTCACTTCCCTGTCACTTAATCAAAATCCTCGCAATTATTATGCAGCACATCAACATAACCGACAAATTCAATTCCACCACCCATAAGTCGCCAACCCAACTGATGCAAATCACACGTCATCACGCGCAATAATGATATCACGCGTTATCATTATTGGATTAGCCTTATCCTAGCCATATCCTATTAGCCTTACTTCAGTGTGTAGTAAAACATTTGAGCGCCTGCTTTGCGAAGACCTTACAAACTATCTCGAGTCTAACAATATCCTGTCCTCTCATCAATATGGGTTTCGGGCTAACAGGTCTACCATGGACCAGCTCCTTTTGGTCTATGACAATGTATCTAAGAGTATGGACAGAGGAGGAGTCACCGACTTGATTCTCTTTGATTTCAGCAAGGCTTTTGATGTCGTGGCCCATGTCCTGCTGCTTGAGAAACTACGATGTTTGGGAATCCAGGGTAGAACACTCTCTGCCATCCGTTCTTTCCTCACCCATCGCTCAATGAGTGTGTGTATCCAAAACCACACCAGCCAACCAAGGCCAGTTCTTAGCGGTGTTCCCCAGGGGTCGGTGTTGGGGCCATTACTCTTTCTAGTATACGTTAACAGTATTGCATCTGAACTTTCCTGTAGTCATAAGATTTTTGCCGACGACCTTAAGATTTATGCATGCATAGAATACCCTAGCTCTCCCGCACATGCTCCCTCATCCCCGACTACTGTCCAGCGTGACATTGACATTCTTTATAGTACGGCGGCTTCATGGGGATTACACATGAATGTCAAAAAGTGTGCTGTTCTCCGCTTTTCCAGACTTTCTGCTCTCTCGGGTCCTCCCTTGTACACCCTGAATGGCCAACCTATCCCCTCCGTGTCCTCAGCAACTGACCTTGGAGTTCTTGTAGACACCAATTTAAAATTTCATGGTCATGTGCATAAGATTGCTCACAAAGCTGGTGGCCTCGCCCATAGTTTTCTCAGGTCAACTGTGTGCCGATCCCAGAAGTTTATGTTGTTTTTACTAACTACGCACATCCGGCCGCTAATTGAATACTGCTCTTGCGTGTGGCACACCGGATTTGTCCAGGATTTGCGGTTACTTGAGCGAATCCAGCGTCGCTGGACAAAGCAGATTGACGGTATGGCCCTTCTCCCCTATGGAGAGCGTCTACAGCTCCTAAACCTTTACTCTATCCAAGGCCGACTGCTACGGGCTGACCTCATACAGTGCTGGAAGATTTTTCACGGCCACTCATGTATCTTGCCGGCTGAACTATTTGCCCAGCCCACCCTAACCAGAACCCGTGGACACAGGTACAAAGCATTTCTCCCTGCCGTCAACACAGATGTGCGTAAAAGGTCGTTTGCAATTAGGTGTATACATGTTTGGAACTCTCTGTCTGACGCCACGGTGTGCGCTCCTACTATTTCGTCATTCAAGCAGGGCCTACACAGAGATATACATGATTTGCTGTATGCATATGTTTGATGTCGTCTATCTTATGCTACCTTCTTGTTAACAATTCCACACAACGAATGTACAACTGTTTAACACTTATGTATTCATGCCTTAACATTCAGATGTAATCTCACAGACGGGACGCAACTTTCCAGCCGCCCACTTTCCATGATAGGTGTCTTTTGTATAGCTTTGCAAGGCTGGCACGTCCCTTGTGTACGGGGTTCCTAAATTCCTCTTCTTGACTCTCCTATCTCTATCCTACTGGACATTGTCGGAACCCAACCAGGTAAGTGAACCAGGTAAGGGAGCAAGGTTGGAAAATAGGAGTGTGAAACATTATAGTGCAAAAATCGTACCCAGCCAGACTTTATTTCAAACCTCCGTAACTTCGCAAATATGGCGGGCCGAGCTTAAATTTTGTGATATTCGTAATAAGGAGCTCCAAAAGGGCCCGTATACAAATTTTGACGGAAATCGTAGGGGCTCTCCCGAATGACCTTGAAATCCAAACCTCCGTAACTTCGTAAATATGGCGGGCCGAGCTTAAATTTTGTGATATTCGTAATGAGGAGCATCTAGAGTGCCCGTACACAAATTTTGACGGAAATCGTAGGGGCTCTCCCGAATGACCTTGAAGTTCAAACCTCCGTAACTTCGTAAATATGGCGGGCCGAGCTTAGATTTTGGATGCATCGTAATCAGGACGTTACGTACTATCTACTGACCAAGTTTGGTCCAAATCGTAGGGGCTCGCCTGATTCCGAATCTTAGATTATAGATTAGGATTCGCTTACATCTAGCTTGACGACCGTGAGTTACCTTCACAATTGTGTCTGACTCATACTCAGTGGCCTTTGGTTCTTACAATGTTTCCTTATAATGTACCTAATTCAATAGATACCTATGCCAATTTCATTTTTCTCATTGGGATTAAGTACTTCATCAACTTACCTATTTCATTTTGTTACATTTGTACCTTTTCACTTTCCAGTTTGTCCAACTATTACTAGTCAGTGCTTCTGGATCAGCCCTCTTCAGCTGCACTGGAATGGGAGGATAGAGAGGCATGATGGCAGCGCTAGTTTGGTGCCTCCAGTTTTGAGCATATGTGTGTCTTGGGTGTTGCATGCAAAGTGTTTGAGTGTTAAAGTTTTTGCTTGCTGCTTTTGCTTTACCTTTGTTTGATCGATGCTCAGGGACGGCATTGGGGACCAATGTATGCATTGGTGGAATGTTTGATAGTTTTGTTTATTACTGATGTTTTACATTGAGCAATGGACAGCTGTAACCTGAAGTGTTATTGCAATTGATGTAGATTTACTGATCGTGTTTGTACTGTTTACATTTGTCTCCCTACTTGCCCCATGTTCCATCAATAGCTTTTGATATAGGATTAGGCACTGATCTGTGTTTTTGAGGTGCCTGTGAACCTGCCCATCCTTGTGAATTGTATCTGATGGGCTGGTTTTTCGAAGAAGGCTTATGTCGAGTAGTGTAGACCAGTGAGTTTTTGTCGCAAATAGAATTATTCATTCTATTAACTCATCTCGTTTGTTTAACATGTGCGGGTGTGCGAGTGCCGGTAAAGCTGCTGTGTTCAGAGTATTGGGCGCTGAATAAGAAGATAAGGGCATGTCTACATTGGGCAGATTCGATCCTCGACAGGTGGAGCTCAGCCCATCCCGGTGAGACCGGCTTGTCTCGGTAATGCAGGTACTCGTAAACGGTCACAACGGGCTACGGAGAGACATGGTCCTCATCGAACTGCTCTAGTGCACTCACCAGCCACCTAGAGGCTGGGTGGGGTGGCTGGCTATCAGCCCAGAACAAGGACGGGTGATCAAGGATGAGGTTGGGTGGGTTGTGAGGATGCACTGATGCAGAGGACGAAAATGCGCAGAAACTGTGGGCGGGTCTCGTGCTTCGGTCGGCGTCAAGCGGGCTAACGTTTCTGAGGGTCGACAACGATTTTTATGAAGTCGAGCACATTCCACAAGTGTAGCATCGGGCTAACTACCCATTGATACCCCACCCACCATCAAAAGGCCTCAGTAGAGCAATTTTAAACGGCGAGGAACGTAATTTACCGCAGCCGCTAATGCGCCCGGCCGGCCCGGGCACCCAGCGGTCGTGTACGTTGTTAGTTCCGGGTTCCGCCACCAGGTGGTCGCCGGCCGCGGCGGTGTGACGCATAGATCAAAGGGTACCGCCGAGAGTGCCCCATCCAGGTATCTCTTATCCATGCTTCGTCCAAAATATTTTTGTTCCACTATCTCTGTCTGTATTGTCGGTGAAAATCTTTCAAATCAAAATATAAGAAAAGGAATCCCACGCGCCCTCTAGTTCCGCGGTGCAACAGGAGGGTCAGCCTCAGCTGAAGTGACGTGGTGACGCAGACGATGGTGGTCAGGCGAACAAGGGACTAAACAGAACTGCAAGGTGAAGCAAGAGGTGAAGGCCAAGGCCCTATATAGTGTGAAGGATGTGGGTGAAGGATGTTTTGCAGGTGCACACACATTTTTTGTGTGTGCACCAGGATTTTTTGTTGGGGGGGGGACACGACCTGCAAACTGGGACCCCCATGCCGAAGGGTCCCAGGCCATAGCCAGACGTTGCCCTACATGAACTCATATGGGCCTGCGCCTGCTCTCTGAGGAGTGAGAGGGCCTGAGATGGAGATGGGCCCTCCTGGTCTTTTGGATCATCATTTCAGCTCATTTTCAGATGGTCTTGTGGTTTAAAGATTAGGGGCCCATTCAAGGATCCATCAAGGCTTTGGCTGCCTCAAATGCCCCCCCCCCCCCCACAATTTGAATGGGGAAGACATGGGGCCCGTGCACTGTTCCTCCCTCCCCCTCCCCCCATGTGTGTGCCTTTGGTGTTTTGTCTGTTTCTAGGCTGTGCTTTCATTAGTGTGTGAGGGATCAGGGAGGTGGTTTGCATATTAACCCACGCTCCGTAGGGGGGGGGACGAAACACCCCCTGTCCTTTTCCATAGATATCTCATAAATGACTGCAGATATCGTCAGCAAACTGTCAGGGCCTCTCCAGTCATCAATTTTACACATTGTGACCAAAATATATCCAGAGGCTGTGATAGGCTAGTCACAAATGACGTCAGTATAACGTCATATTCTGCCATATTCGACCCCAAAAAAGGTTTCTAGGGAAGAGCTGTCAGGCCTAGGTACAGCTTTGAAGATAGAGAAAAATGTTCAGCTCATAGAATTTGTAGAATTAACAGGGCTATAGCAATATAACACTGCTAAGTGCTATCTCAGATTTTTTGAATTTTTTGGTTTTGACCCCAAAAATAAATAAAAATTGATAGGTACAATACTTAGCCAAAAAATCCCAAAAGTATTTCGACTTTCGAAAAAATGGAATATATGTGATAGCCCCTACCACCTTCTATCCACATACCAAATTTAAGGTTGATACACCTCTATTTGGCCAAGTTACAGCGAAAAAAAAGACTTCAAAATTGATGACATCAAATTTTCCAACTCAATTTTCAGCAATTCTACACCTTGAAGCGCAAAACAAAGACCACCATTAGACTCCCCGTGACGAGCTGCATCGAATCGATATCCATTTTATGCAAAAATATCAACTTTAAAATTTGACCTGGTTTGACCTGACCTGACCTTCACCAGAATATAACCTGAATTGGCTCCCAAAGGTTGCCTGACCCACATGATCGCATTTGTCATGTAAAATGGACCATAAGACATGTATCACACGCCACTTTTGTTGTGTGACCCTCAGTGACCTGACCTCTATGACCTGACCTGGTATCAGTGACCTCAGATAGCAAAATATTTGTTTTACGGATAATTCCCCCGTCGATTATTTTCAATAACGTATGCCTTTTACTCGATTTTACAACACATTTCTTGAAATGCCTGTAAACGGTGAAAATTTGACCTCTGACCTGACCTGTGACGGCATCGGTTGGACGGAGATCAATAAAATTGCGTCGCAAGGTAGTTCTCCGGTAGGGCTATCCAACGCCGTTTGAACTTTGAAAATCGGCCGGTAAATTTCCGAAATCTTACGGGGAACTGAAACGCCCCCCCCCCCCCCCTACGGGTTGTAGAGTCCGCCGATACCCCTACGGGGCGCGAGTTAATGTTGATGATACAATAGTGAGGATGGCATTGGTGTGTGAATAACAAATGATTTTCTTACATTTACCCCGCGTTCGATGTCTCTCGGACGGCGAAGATTCTACGTCGTTTGGCCAATCACGTTCCATAACCTCAGCCGTGCCCCCGCTAACCTTGAACGGGATTGGCCGGACGACGTAGCATCTTCGCCGTCCGAGAGACATCGAATGCGGGGTTAGTTTTGTCTTTCCTGACTGGTAAGTTCACCTCCGCTTCCCAACCACTTCCGCTGGTTGTTCACTTCCGCTTCCCAGCCACTTCCGGGCTCCGGCACTTCCCACTCATTTTATTTCTTAGTTTCAAGTTTTTTTACCAAACAGTAGGCAGCAGTTTTGTTTACTTAAATGCCTATTTTCAGGTCTTGCAGGCTGTGACATTAGAGTTGAAATTTCATCAAACAAAGGAAGTCCCTGGAGGCTGGTCGGGTCCGCTGCAAGTCCCTGTAAATTTGTGGACGCTCAAGCTGAAGTTGAAGTTGCTTGTCGATCACCTTTTTTCCTTGCACTATGGTACTCCTCTGTGGGAGGTTTGTTGTGGTAAGTTGATTGTTTTCTCAATTAGATAGGATTCATGAATTTGGACTTGATTTTCACCTTTCAGTTTCCTTCACAACTTTTCTCTCCTGCTCACCATTTCCCACAATTGGTGTATTTGTGGAATGGTCTTTACAATATGCAGGTTGAAACTTTGATATAAGAATGGGTCACATTTACTTGTAGTTTAAAGTTATCGTGTTTTCTATTGCTTGCATTAGCATCCCATTTAACATAGGCATTCTGATTCTGGAATTATTTATCATTGTAATTTGCAGAGAGTCACCCATCCTGATGTTGAGTCACCTATCGAGGTCAGGTTGATAGCGCTTCTATTTGATGTTCCATGCTGCTCTTTCAGGCTGCTTTGGTCCTGCTGGTCTCACCAACTGCCTGTCTCTCAAAGTGAGTCGGGTTGGATTGATGTAGATGCATTCATGAGCATTTGGCCAAATGCTGTTTAGTGGTCATTTATCCAGAATTTCGGTGTCTTCCAATCTATCTTTTCCTAGTGAAATAACATTGTTGCACAGACATGTCTTCTTCTTGTGACCTGTCATGACCTGGACAGTGACCTGGACAGGCTCTGCAGCAGTACATTGTTACTACAGCAGTACAGCAACAGGTCATGACTATGAGACCCTGTAACGTGTTATCTGGCGATCTTTGTAACGGAGCATTGTTTGCCTCCAGGGACCGTGACTGCGATGTACCCGACTCCTATCATGCTGAACCGAGCACCTCGACAAAATGCACGATGGAGCTCAACAATCTGGCCGATAGCCTGTCGGGGTCAGTGCCCAAGCGATCTTCGCTCTTCCCATTGATGCGACGAATCTAGAACGCTCAATAACCTGAGGCTTACCACCCTGCATTGCTTGGAAGTGGAATGTGTCGGTCCATTTATTCTTCGAACCATTTTATCGTCCTTTTTTTCTCAAACAGTATTTGATCACCCTGTTTGACAAATTCACATCTGTTATGCTTCTTGTGTCAGTCAAACCCTAATCGTCTTGGTACCATCGTCAAATGTATCGGTCCGTCGCTAACCCCTAACCCGTGACCCTGACCTCTGACCTGTTTCTGTGCCGGCAGCATCTCGCGCTGTATGATCATGTCGGCGCGTCCCCTGACGGCGTGTCTGAGCTGCTACCCGCTAATGTCAGACCTGGAGCGGGCGTACACCACCATTGTGGGGGTGAGCACTCAGAGGAGCAGCCCTGGGAGCGTGTCAGGGGGGAAGAAGTAAGGGATGGTGTATCTCGAATAGACTGCATCGTTAGCGATAAAATACACTGAGCCGGACCTGGCTAAATCTTATTTCGGCAGCTGTGAGTATATTGCGGTGACAACAATGTCGCATGACTTGGGAAGTGATACATAATCCACTGCTATTCCGTATTTGCTTTCCCTGTTGTCAGCCAAGCCGATTTGTGTGTCTCTTTTGCAAGTTTTTTTTTTTTACCTGGCGTTGCCCGGCGTACCTACATGATTCAGCATACGGTACCCGCAGTCACACAATTCCCCCTCCCTTCTCCGCAGTCTGGCCCCGACCAGTCCGCGTGCGCGCACGAGCTGCTGGACCGGGACTCGACTCACATGATGTTGCGCGCGTACGCCTACTACACGGAGCTGCTGGCGGTGAGCCGCTGTGAACGCTGCCTGGAGAGGGGCACCAACGGTACCTACCGGCTCAAGGACGGCGTCACCCGCTTCATGGACACGGACGCAGCGTTCCGGAGGTGTATGCAGGTGAGGCAGCGACGGTGGGACGTGGGGGTGCCGTGTGGGTAAGGCGAAAGAGGAGCGCAAATGTAGCTATGGATGTCGTAGATGACTCGTAACTAGTGAGTGGCTGGAATCTTACGTAGTCGGTGTGTTAGTTACGTGGAGAAAGCGTGTTCGCAGCGTTGTGGCGCGCGGCTGTGCAAGATGGTACCCGATGAAGCTTAAATCTCATGAAGCTATGGTGTTTGTTTGGGTTTAGCTATCGGTTTCATAATTGCACTCTAATCTCGTGCTGTTTCTAAGCTCACACGGTCTCTAACCTCCCCTTCTCCCGCCGTGTTCATTTCAGCTTGAGTTTCCTGCTCACAAGGCTGTGAACGCCAGCGCGGACATGTGCGACTTTTGTCGACCCCAGTACGACATGGAGCAGATTCACGCCAAGGATATCATCAAGGACACCCGCGACTGGCAGACCTGCCGCGATATTATCGACATGGTGAGATGCGGCGAAACGGTGGGGAGGTTCACGAAGGGACGGGTCTATTAAGAGCGGTAGATGATGATCCATGATAATATTGACCATAGATAACATGATTCATGTTATCTGTGTATTGACTTTTAAGACCCTGAGGGTTCCTCATTAAAATTTCGTCATCCTGGTCAGTGATGAATTGCAATCAGCATTCAGCAGTATGGAATGATCGCTGATAGTCATGTCCAGTTCACTGTTCAGTCAGTCATTGAGTGCAGGCGAGATCAGTACTAGAGTTTTGTAGCACGAGCCTCAGTGTCAGTCCCCTCTCTTTTTTCGCAAACATCACGCCGTTTCATATGTCACAATGTCTGCCACTGCCCCGCACCCCTTCCTTCACTTCACATACGTCCACTTACGCTCCCCCATTCGTCTGTCGTCAGGCCAACACGACTCAGTACATGTGGGAGCACTACGGCTGTGACGTCTGGGTGCTGACCCTGGAGCGGTTCCTGTACTCGCTCATCCCTCTGGCCATCTCCGCTGTGCTCATCGTCTCCTTCTACGGCTACGTCTGGTGGCGCTACCAGCGTCTGGAGCGCGAGGCGGCAGCGCGAGAGGCAGAGCGGGGCGCGCGCCGTCCCTCGGTGGGCAAAAAGGAGCATCTGTATGACTACAGTGGACTGCGGCGGAGGCCCAACAAGGTAGCGATGAGGGAAAGGGCCGAGAGAGAGGAGAGGGAGCAGAGGGAGGGGAGAGTGGAGCAGGCGGAGGATGGAGAGAGTGATGAGAGCGAGGAGACGGACGCCGGTGACGCGGGGAAGGAGGAGTAGCGCGGGTCGCCGCCAGGTGGCAGACGCCGGGCCCCGCGGGCTGTGCTGACTGGAGCTGTGAGTGGCGAGTGCGAGTGTGGGCTCTAGTTTAGTGGATAATCCGTGAGCTTTTAGTGGTCAGTGGTCCCATGCTCGACCCCGGGGAGTGTAAGGCGTTTTAAGAAGTGACTGCGCAAATGTACGCTCGCATTTTATACAGGCTTTAATCATTGTATTCACGTATATCCGTAGCATTTTCATGATTCAGGTATCCATTGCGTGAGGTTCACACGGCGCCTGAGTCACCTTGTGTACTTTTATATCCTTTTGGCGCCTGATCTCGATTGTAGCCAGCTTCCCTGCGTAATGTCTTAGGGGCTGTTCCACAGCTAGCGTCGAGCTTTGATGGTTTGTAATCAATAATTTTATTGTACGCGGCTGTGGCAGAGAAGGGCCTCGCGAGGTCCAAGTGCCTTACCAACATGTATACCTTATTTTGTCATTGTATCTGCTTGCGTGTTCATCATTGCTTTTTATCGAGTTCATAAGTACGGAGAATATACCTACCTCAAGAGTCAAGTGCGACATCTGGCGGGGGTCTTGTGTGCATCGCGACTAGATTTGGAACGTCTTGCCGCTCGCAACATTGTTCGCTGCATTATAAAGTCCTACTATCTGATACATTTCCGAATCTCGGTGTCACCCTAGAACAAACAGCTCTGAGAAATATCGGCGTTAGTTGTATTTGTCACTGCCTGAGCCCGGTGGCGTTCCACACGGACCCAGCACATACAGACAACAGTCCGGCTCAATGCACAGCAGACGGCAGAGATCGGTTAGAGCTCAGCAGGGGGACCCGCTCCAAGAGGTAGCTGAAAAATTAGATGTTACGCTGTTTTAATGGAAGAATTGGACTCTTTGTACGAAAGTGAAGCGGTTCACGGTTTCTCGGATTCTGAGTGTGCGCCCTAACGCTCTTTAGGTAGCCAGACCAATACAATCCACAATGACAACCTGACAACACCTAATGCATTATTTTCGGTCCCCCAAAAGCATCACACGGAGTATGCGGCTGATCTATTCGACACACGTTATGTTATCGCTCTCACCACATCCAGCGGTGCACCCCGTCCCCCGTAACCCGCGCGGCACAACACAATGGTGAGAAGGCAGCTGCTACAGGAGCCAGTTACACCACCAATGACCAATACTGTGCGTCTGTCATGCCATATTGTGCCGTGAGTAACACCACCCAGCAGAGAACAACCACCACATCACGACAGGAAGGTCAAGGATCGACGATATCGGTTCCAGCGTTCAGCTTCCAGACGCTAAGTCACGGCCCCAGTCGTAGGCACTAGACGGCTCAGCCACTGGTAGCCGGTGAACTTCAGCTCCAGCAGGCTCCTCTTGCCGATCCAATTTTATCCTAACCGTTCGCACATTTTCAGAGGCACCGCCCGGCGGGCCCTCTCTTCTCATCGAGTGTTGCATCGCTCATTGCACACGCGACAGCCAAGCTTTGCGCGACATCCCGACTAGTGACAATCGAAGCTACTCAATCCAGCCCAATGTTAACTTGACTGAACGAATCAAACACACGAACGTAACATGAACGGTCTTGTGTGTTTCCTCAGCCCGTTCTGTCTCCACTGTTCGGCAGCACGAGCCCGACTCGGCCGGTCCTAGAGACAGCCATACGGTGCCCGCGTCCGTCGGCCGTCGCAGTGGCAGAACTGATCACAGGTGCGCATGCCGCATAGTACCCTCCATTAGCTCAGCTCACAGCAACACAGGCGCCTATGTCCTACTTTCTCCAGCGTTAGAGCGCAAATCACATCACAACAGCTCGAGACACGTCAGTGTGTTATGGCACAACCCCACAGCACAAACCTCCAAAACTTCCCGCTTGAAGAACAGAACCGGGCATCTAGTAAACAAATAAGACTAGTGGGACAGCCAAAAACGGGCTCACAATGCAGCAGTAAGAACCAAAAACACCTAAAAAAAAAGCGTAACTGATGAAAACGCTGTACTAACCCGGCCAACACCAGCGTTCTCTTTCCATTCGTTAGCCGAAATTCCAGGGGTAGATCCTAAGACACCTGTCCCTCACTGCCTTTCGTATCATCGGCTGATACAATGATATAGCTTTGCATTTGTCCACCACGACGTGAGCAGGCTCCACTCTTCATTTGAACCTCATCCGACCTCTCCATTTTCTTCACTGTCACTGTAAACCAGCACATACCGGCCTCCGCTGTAAAACATACGACGTGCGCGGCCCCTGGTTTGTGCCGACTCCAGCCTCGGAGTCTGTGTAAGGCCTGTCCGTCTAAACACCAGGGAGTATGAAGGCAGCGGTCGGGCGGAAAGCGGCAGTGCGCAGTCAACGACAGGCACCCCAGTCTTCACCAAGCGTTCAGGCACGTAACCGCATTTTCCAGACACACAGCTATCACTGTTATCTGCCTAAATCCTCCAACCTTGGCAGGTCCCATCACTGCCACCATCCTTTTACCCTCCAGACAGCCTTGCTGACGTCTGTCCTTATTCAACCACACATATCCTGCCACCACCCTTAACACAGCAGCGACGCCGCTCGGCGCTACCACACACCATCCCCGGTCGTCACACCGCCGCGCTATAGTAGACCGTATTCCCATACACTGCAGGCGTTGTGAGAGCCCCCAGCAGTAGGTACCACACCACCAGTCCAGTGACGTAGGCGAGCACCAGCTTGGCACGCCGCGGCTCGGGCTCGGCGAGCAGACCGGTCACGTCCGGGAAGCCCATGTGGTTACAGAAGGCGTGGGCCATGAACGGCGCAGTCATGTGGCCCGTCCGCACAAACAGGTACGCCTGCGGGCAGGAGAGGGGGAGCAGACATTAGTGATTGCCCATCAGCAGTGATTGTGGGTTGGTGAGAGATGTGATTCTAGGTTGATGTGGAAAATATGACGCACCTGATGAAAACTATAAAAAAAAACAATCATAATGAATTTGGCTCCTTCAAATAGCCTCAAAGGCCTGAATCATGCTTTCAGTTACTCCATTGCACGCTTATGGCTAAATAATCCATTTCATAATTTCGATACATCTATGAACTTAACTTAAAAAATGCTTCGATTGATGTCGAGTATGTTGTGGACAGACCTAACGCCAGCCCACCAGCTCCCAGTACAGCCTTCCCGTCCCCACTCACCGAGTAGACGCCGAACACGGTGGTGTAGGCGAACTGGAACAGGCTGGCGGCCAGGGCGTTCAGCACCCCCTGCCGTTGACTGAGTCGCTCCATCAGATGATGCAGGTGCGCGATACCGAAGAACAGCGGCGCGCAAAAGTACAGCTGCTGTGGCGACATACACGTGGCCAGCATCGGCACCATACACGCCCGGAACGTGAACTCCTCGGAGAATGGCGCCACGATGTGGTTCCTCACCCAGACCAGGTTGCGGAGGCTCTGCCACCAGTACATGGGCTCCAGGTAGATGTTCCAGTGTCCCACGTGATACTGCTGTACCAGCGGCCCGAGGAACAGCACGGCGGTGAGCAGGTAGGGCAGCAGCAGGGCGGGCAGGAGGCCGCTCAGCCTCAGACCCATCACCTGCCAGATGGAGTGGTCGGCCAGCGGACTGGCGCGCCCGGGGCCGTACTGCAGGTACAGGTGCGGGAACAGCGGCGACACCAGAGACACCAGCAGCACGCTGACGAACCGCCGGCGGATGGTAGCAGGGTGGTCGCGCGAGAAGCCCGACCGCCACACGTACAGGCTGCCCACGTAGAGCAGGCCCAGGGAGCAGCAGAGCAGCACGGCACTCACACACGGCACCTCAGCGGCACCGGCAGCGGCAGCGGCGGCACTGGCTGGGCACAGGTCGCCCGAGCATTCACCGGCGACGGGGTCCTCCATGGCAGCAGCGGCAGCGGCAGCGGCGGCGACGGCTGTTGGAGAAGGGAGAGCAGGGTTAGATGGTATGCCAACGGTGCACAGGAAAGTACAGGCGATATTTCATATTTAACATTTTGTTTAACATATCTGGACGTTAGAATAGCCCTACAGCTATTGCTTTGACAAAATGAGATAATCGTTAAAAACCATGATATTGCGAGTAGCGACGTAAGAAAATGAAACTACAAGGCAGATGAGAATACCAGAGTCACCATTCAAGGCAGAACAAAACAGCGGCACTCGTACTTGAGGATGTTACATAAATATCCGTTGTGTTTAAGTACCTATGATCTGGATTACACCACACTACATGATAACGTGAGCGCATGCCAAACTACACAAATATCAGTCACCAGCACACTAACGAGTTTGGGTCACTATCCAAACAGAGAGGCTGTCCGTTCTGGTCACGACACGACGATCACGAGGAGCCCTGCCTGGCGCCGCTCCAGGTCAACACTGACTGGCCCATCCGAAATCAATCGGCAAAACTGAGCGCCAACTGCTGCAGCCCACTCCAATGTCCAGAATCCATCAACAAGTCGCGGTCGTTGGCGGCCAATGGCCGTCGTCCACAACTCGCCAGCGCGCACCCCCGGATCTAACTCCGAGAGCCGGGCCGTGCACTTTGAGCCGGACCGAGCGAATATAGTCGCCACTGGCGGGCAGCCATAAACAGTCGAAAGTAGGCGAACCATTAGGGAGCAGACCAACCCGCACACGCACGTCAATATCCCTCCTAATCGACAGATCGCCTGACGGGGCATATCACTTACCTCTGCTGCGCGGAAACCCACTCTGGGCTAAACCCATCACGACGACACCACATGCAAATACTGCAATACAAAAACTATTACTAACCACCCGTGTGTGCGCGGGATCGCAATAACTAGCATGAACGACCTGCTGCCAACTGAATCGATCTCCGTCCCACGGTGAACATCGCCCTCCAATCACCTGGTCGCTGTGACTTTTTTGTCCCTATCTCCGGGCACGTTACGTCATCGATCTCGGTCAGACCAGTTGGCCGGATCGTGAACAAACGCGTGGGGCAGTGGACAAACTGTATCGTCCGGTCGGCCGGCCGGGCGAGCGGCCTAAAAACACTGCCGACCCAGTGAGTCAGCCGGGACGGAGTCCAGGGTTCAAAGGTGAATCCACGCCGCCGCTGTCATCGCTTCATCATCTTTGGCACTGCTGGGGAGGTGCGGAGGGGACGGGGAGGGATGGGTGGCGAGGGACGGGGGTTGAGAGGGACAGGGAGGGGATGTGAGGGAGAGAGGACAAAAGGCTGAGGCAGTGAGGGACTGACTGGGATGGGATGAACCAGGAACAACACTGGGCTTGATGACAGTCAAGTGACATGGCAAGTAAGTAGTGAGGAGACTGATACGCGGGCACGCCTCACCCAGATCTTGCTGTGCAGTGTGAAATGTAGAAGCCTCTCGGCTCTTGCAGTGCTGAGCGCTATAAAACAACAGGTTTTGTTCACCAGACTTTTATGAAAATCGAGCGAGTTGGAGACCGAAGAGTGAGTGAAGGATGTCTTTTGTGCGCCAATGGCAAACGGTCTCGAAGCAGAGAACGTTCGCTCTCATTGAGCAGCTCTCAAATGATGACTGATCTCTTAAAAATTTGCACACAATGTTTTCATGTTGAACAGCCATGACAGCAAGTAAAAACGTCCCGAATATCGATCACTTACGTCAACGTTCTAATACATATTCAAATCAATATTTTGAGAGCACTTTTTAATGATGCTGGCCATTAAAGGTAGTGTGCCACCTTCCAATGATTTCCCATTTTATTTTTCCTAGGATAAGAAGCTTCTGTTTTTACCTAATATCGCAAAAAATGGGCCTAAAATAGTGCTTTTTTCGCCTCAAAGTGTATCGGTTTTTCGATATGTATAACAACTGTAGTGGGCTGACCTGCAAACAGGCGTCGGCAACAATCGCGAATGCGGCGCACATGTGACAATAAGCAAAGGTCATTATAGAGTTACGACGTACGGGAATGAGTTATCAGCTGTCTAATCGTAGACAACACAATGTCGAATTTAAACTGTAAGCCTGTATTGGTATTGTTTCTTTAATTTGGCTGTCGAGCATTAATTTATAGTTTGAAATATTATTTTATGTAAAATAATTGATATGAAACAGCCGTCTCTAAAGTTATGACCCCACCTCACCACATAAAAGTGGCAGAAATGACAATGATCAGCTGACGCATTTTCTTGGCCGAAGTCAGAGCGCGCGGCCCGACGCACCACCACCGCACCACAAAGTATGAGCAGAAGCCACCTGCGGTAGACCGCGCCCAAAGCCAGGGCCCCGGTAACGTGAGGTAGCCGAGTCGGGGCAGCGTGCGCTGACCCAAGCCGGGGCCGCGGCTTTGGGCGCGGTCCACCGCATCCCCGGGCAGCCCCGGGCTATCACATGACACCGGGAGGACGCGCGGCCCCGGCTTGGGTCAGCGCACGCTGCCCCGACTCGGCTACCTCACGTTACCGGGGCCCTGGCTTGCTTTGGGCGCGGTCTACCGCACCACCTAGCAGGCGTGTTCGAAACCGCAGGAGATGATGATGAACGGGTTTATCGAAACTTGATTGGATGAGCCTATCGGTAATAGCGATTTCAGTGTGTGCATTTATTGTTCATAGTGGTGTGAAATGTGGTTGGGGTACGACCGACAACCCGTCGGGGCGAATTTCGCACTGGGGTACTCAAAATTTGAAGAATTTAAGACGTTTCCATGAGTTTTGAAGGTATGGATAAGTTCCAAAAATCCGGTTCTCCTTATCTGGGCCATTAACTCCATACGGTCCAGGAAAGCTGGCACACTACCTTTAAGTAATGCAAAAATATTCCTAAAACCAGGAAGGTGCGGCGAGAGCCCGTTCGAACCGCTCTAGCGCCCGATGCACGAGTCTCCCGGGTCCTGTTCACGGCATGGACGATTGAGATAAGGGCCAACGCAACAAGTTCTACAGCAGCGTTGGAGTTCCCGGTACCACAGAGTACGGAGAATAAAAGCTGATGTGAGGTTTCTCCGGTATAGGGCGTAGCTCTTCTAGGCCCGATGGATACGAGGCCCATTGCCTTCCTGTAGTCATAGTGTAAATTCCCCAGATGTACAATGAAGCTTCTTGCATTCAAACCAGCCTAATCCAGAATTATTATTAAATATATGCATATACATAGATGAAAGAGAGGAGCTTTGTAGAACCTGTTAATTTCGAAATTGTATGCTCAGAGGCCCTAAATAAGCTTCGTGTGACTATCAACTTTGCGGCTTGACTGGGGCAGGCGGCAAAAACAACAGCGGCCTGAACAGTTACCGAAAGGCTAAGCACTGGAAGGGGTTAACCTACCCGAAGAATAAAATGCAGGACCAGAAAGAAACCACAATTCCAATGCTGCCCCCCTCCCCCTCCCCCACTCTGTTAATCTGCCCATTCAAACATTCAAGGTAACTTTTTAACCCACAAGTATTGCTTGAACTGCACAACAGGGCATAAAGATTGGAATAGAAGCCCAGGTTTTTTAATTTAGAGAAACTTTAAGAATGTGCCCCCTGCAACCTTCATCCTCCACTACCAGTATGAAGGTTACCTGTTTTTGGATCTGCTACTGATGATAGCTCATGTCTGTCTCCCAGGAATGTCTCATCATCCCTATCTTTGTATCATGTTGAGACTTGAGATACGTCCAAAGGTTGGTACTGGTAGGTAGGTACACTCGGGGGCAGATTGATGTTCCACCACTCCCTACCCATCGGGCTCCCATGGATCAGCAGTGGCTGCTGCCAGTGTTGCCTGCCCTCAGCACTGCTCAGCAATGCCTGCCAATGCCAGTGCTGCCAGTCCTGCCACTGACAGCAGCCAGTGCGGGAGCCATGGGAGCCTGATGGGTAGGGAGTGGTGGAACATCAATCTGCCCCCGACTGTACAAACCTACAACCTACATCTCCGGGTATCTGGTAGTTGGTACCTATAGCACCACTCCTTGGTTGCAAAAACAAAAGGGTGATGCCTGCTTTATGACTAGCCAAAGATCTTATAAAATTGCAACATCTGTTGATGTTAATTCAGAGGCTCTGAATCAGTGGACATTCAGGGGACTGGGGAGGTAAATAGAGGGCACGTATTTTGAGACTGCAACACAAATATGGCACTTTTTAATATTATTTCAAATTCTTGTAGATAGTAAATTATGATATTGGGTAAGCCATACGTTTTTAAACTTGTATTGTTAATTTTTGGGTAATTCAGGGACGCTCACAGCTGCATGCCCCACAGCCCATGGCCACCGCTTGCGGCCACCTCTCCCAATCTGTCACCTCTGAATAATTCAAGTCAAAGTGTTGGTTCTAACCAGATACACACATAGGCGCTGAACAATGTCAATTATAACTGAAGGTTTGTTGTCAATAGTTAAAACACTATTCTTTAGAATTGTGTTTTTCTATTGAAAAACAAATCTGAGTTCCCTGACAATTTGGCAAAAGTAAGCAAATGCATGTATGGCAGAAAAGTATGTTGGTGAGTGCGAATTGACCCAGTTATACTTAAACCGCAAGCTGTTTGTTAACATAGGAGAAAAAATAACAATCTGGAAAATTTCGAGCCCACCTGGTAACTGAGCTCTGTACTCTGTAGTTGCCCAGCTAGTTTTCTTCTGGTAAAATATGACTAGGGGTAGAATCTAGATGTCACAGTACCATAAGCAACGATCAAAATTACAGTTTTTGACGATACGCAAACATAAGGCCGGCTACCGCCCACAAACCCCACAAACATGCGTGAATCGGACGCCGGTGAAAACAGGGCGCCGGAGGGCATATTAGTCACGTGACATCTGGAGCTTCTCCCCCTTCGGGAGCGTATTTGGAATTTCCGACCTCGACGAGCATAGATATAAAGACTAGATAGGGCACCCCCATGTCGGGAGCGACTCGCGAATACGTAGCAGCGGCCGCCATGTTGGTGAGGTCGAGACTCTGTGCCGCTGTGTAAACACTATGGGAGGAGGGGGGTGCTTGGGACAGATTTTGTGGTATTTTTCGACCGAAAAGTGTTAATCTTTTTTGCCTATGGCATTCTTTGGAATGAGTAGATTGTGAAACAAGGGCAGAAACATGTGTATTTATTGTAATTTAATTACATCAGCCCTAGACATATAGCCCTGAAGACGCTGATAAAGGATATGCGGCACCGAAGGTAGATGCAATTGGCATGCTAATTTAAAATTAAATTCGTTTCCCATTATGGCTACCATACTTTATATCTATGTATGCAGTATGCAATGGACAATGATCGACAATAAGTGCAAGTTTAGCCCTCACCCGTTCGTAGTTTGTCAGCGTCTTACGAGTAGGGGAAGCCAGGGTGAACGGAATGAACTCCAGCCGTTCGCCCCTCGACGGAGCAAGAACGGAAAAATAGGTATGCTGTCCGCGATGTGAGTAAACCAGTGATCCCAAATTTCAGGGTACTAGGTCAACAGGTGAACTCAGAGGTCAGGTCAAACACTGGAAATCGAACCAGTAAAGTCACTGGAGTTTGAGATCTTTCGCTATAAAATCGACCAAAACGCGTGAACCGTCGGCGAAATGGGTTACATCATTCCTAATCAACCTCATCTCGAAATCTAGCGAACCGGGTCACATAAGGTCATACAAGGTCAGCGACCTTAGATGACCTCGGATGGCCTTGTCACATGGCGGGTCATGTGAAGTGTATTTATGGGCGCCGATCTCGAATCCCGTGTCAATCTTACTTTAAAAAAATGATTTGCGGGCACAAATCCGCAAACATAATTAAGGATTACGAATAAAATGAGCAAGATGCTCCGAAAACTGCCCATATGAAGCGCAGCCTTGACCTCGAGGCAAATGCACGTTATCTAGACATCAACACTAAAAAAACGTATGTGAAATGCATAAACATGCACTAGAAGGCAAGGAAACTCACCCGGATGCGGCAAATCGCAAAATCCGCTTATTTTAGCCGAACATGACCTGACCCGAGCTCCGATGACCTATTCCTCACTTTGAATCAATCCGCGCCCCCTACAGGCACCGACATCGCCCTTGCAGGCAGCACCGACGATAGCCGCACAGGCACGTGGCGAGCTAGTGTAACTGTAAGCCGCGCCTTCAGCCACGAACACCAGTTTGT